GGTTACTTGTCGGGGGGATTTATTTGATTATAAAATAGTGCGGGCTGTGGAGTGTATGATTTTCCTATGCCAGCTATTTCTGTGCCAGCCTTGTAAGGTGTGTGTTTGTGTGTGTGTGTGTGTGTGTGTGTGTGTGTGTGTGTGTGCGTGCGTGCGTGAGTGCGTGCGTGCGTGTGTGTGTGTGTGTGTGTGTGTGTGTGTGTGTGTGTGTGTGTGTGTGTGTGTGAGTGAGTGTGTGCGTGGCTAGTGAGTAAGACTGAGCGAGGCTGCGACTCTCAGAAATCAATACCAAGTGTTGTCGGGTGAGGTATGTGCCCTCTGACTCGTCCCCCTCCCACACACAAACACGGATGCTCACACACGCACTCGGTGGGTGAAGGCAGCATCGATTTGAAGAGATGTCTCCCTCCCGCAGGGATTACTACTGACAATTTATTTCAAAGTTAACTCGTGCACACGTACCTTGTTCTCACACATACAGACCCAACTACGATGGCGCATAAACGAGCCAACAAGAAAATCCAAACGGGAAGCCATTCTGAAGAGTGTGCCGCTTGTTTGCAATTTGGGGATTTTGCCACACAAAACCTTATTCTCCTTGTGTTTGCTTTTTTGTTGTTGTTTTTTTGGGACAGCCCGTTTAGGCAGCATAAGTAGCTGCGCATTTTTGGTGAGTATTAGGTGTTGGAGTATATTCTTATTGATGTAGATGTCTTGTTGTTTGTGTTGAAGCTCCGGAGGTATGATGGATTTGACCAGTTGTCGGTAACCCGCAGAGAATGCAAATCATTCAGGCCCAACCGCTTTGCTTCCCAATATACAGGAAGTCGAAAGAAAAAAAAATGGTCACGTTTTATTTTCAAACTGATTTCAGGTGAATTACCGCACCAAACTTGACCCTATATTGATTATTCTCAGCAGCCCCACTAGGCAACACTTGCCACTAGGTAGTGCGAATACCGTGGCTGTCTTGTTGCGATACATCAAGAAGCAATGTAGGCACGGAACGTTCCACTCATTGGTAGCAACCGGCGGATAATGCAGTTCAGGCCCAATCACAACGTCGCCTAAATGGGCTGCCCTCGAAGTCCAATCACAGACATAACTCGGGAAAGTGTGGACGTTGGTGAAGGTGTTCGGTACGCTTTCGATACCAAATTGAAATTGTGTTCCTGACTTTCAATTTGTTTTCAGCAGCCTTTTTAGGCGGCACTACTAGCTGCATATTAATGCCTATGTACATTGTGATTAGCCCGCCTGTCTAGTTACTGGAAGTTGAGAAGCAATGACGGTGCTGAGCAATCCAATAAACATTGGCAACCAGCAGAGGATGCAATTAACTCTGGCCCAACCAGTTTGCGACCTAACGAGCCCGCCATATGAATCCACACCAAAGTTCAATTCCATTGTGTTGAATTCAGATTGTTCTCAGCAGCCCGTTTAGGCCGCCCGTCACATTACACAGCCAAGCACATAACAGGATTGGTGCTCTGGTACCCCCCGCAGACACATGATGCACGTGTGGAACGAGGGCAGAGATTTGTCCTTCACGCCCGACGGTTACCAGGCCAACCCCAAGCTGGTGGTCATCGTCTTGAACAGCGATAGAACGTGGGAGAAGGTACGAAGCAGCCGAAATTCGAATTTGGCGGGGTTGGCTTGAATATGCGCTTTTTCTCAGATGGGTCGCTGGGAGAACGGCACGCTGTCGTTGATGTTCCCCGTGTGGCCGCGCTACAACTCGCACGGCGACGAGGACGCCGATGAGAACCACCTGTCCATCGTCACGCTGGAGGAGAAGCCCTTCGTCATCGTGGACAACGTGGACATCCTCACGGGGACCTGCATGAGGAATTCCGTGCCCTGTCGCAAACACGTCAAAGAGTAAGTAAGGCGCGGACACATTTCCACCGTCTTTTACGTAGCAGCTAAGTCTTTACAGCTCCGATGAAGGCTGAAGCGACAGCCGAAACTGTCAGCCAGGTAAGAGGTTTTCTTTTCATCCGAAAAAAAAAAAAAAATACAGTTGTCTGGGGAAAAATAAATCTTAAACCGTGTGTCAAACATACGGCCCGCGGGCCGGAACCGGCCCCCAAGGGGGTTCGATCAGGCCCGCAGGATAATTTAAAAGTGAAAGAATACATACAATACACATGGAATTAATATTTTTAAGAAGCTGCAATTCATGGATCATCTGCTGGAGGGAACACTCTTTTGAGCAGAGAAGAAGACAACGGCAGTTTCAGTCTGTCACTGAGACAGACCCAACACGGCAGTAAAAGCCCGCTACCTAATTGCTCGCAAAATAACATGAGCATCAAAGCCATATTCCAACGGTGACTTTGTGAAACGATGCCCGATAAAGGCGGCTGAACTTGTATGGCCCGAGAACCGACAAGCTTTTGCCAATATTAGCCTGACGAGGAATACCAGAGAGCATTTCGAACCTATCAGCAGATTTAGACAGCCAAATGAAACAGAGAGTCAAGTCATTTTGTCAAATGTTTTGTAGAAGGTATGTTGATTAAATGTCAACACTTTCCTCATGTTCTTGTGCTTCTTTCTACCAAAACAAAGGAAAGACGTGATATTTTGGTTCTTGACATCAGAGTATGGTATCACTTTAATGGTCCGGCCCACTTGACATCAACCGAGGCCGTATGTGGCCCACAATGTCAAATGAGTTTGACACCCCTGCCTTAAACCCAACCAAATGTGATGTTATTGAGTTTCCCCACCCGAAAATCTGGCATGATGCTCCATACAAGGCCACGATTAAGCGGTTGCAACTGTTGCAACTTACCTGAAAAGGTGCACTCCAAAACAAAATAGCCAACTTCCTCGCTCTTTTCGGTCACGGCTTTGTCGAGATTTTACTTCGTTTTTTTTTTTTTGTGGGGCTACTTGTGATCGACGCGCCTAGCCGGTTTCATGTCTGGAAGTGAAACGATTCTTTGGGTTTGGCTTGTTTTTGGTTTATGGCGAGTCATCGCATTCTTGATGAAATTCTCCCCGCTTGCAAAACTAGCTGTGAGTTCGGGTACGTTGAGGGCCCCCAAGAAAGCGATTCATTTGTTTTGATCATGACATTTCAATCTTGGAAGGGTGCTGCGTGGTTTCTAATGAGATGCAAATGTTTTCCGGGGGGCAATCATCACATGTTAGCGATGCGGTTCCGGTCATATGACTGGCAGCTAATTAGCGCCGTCGACGGCAATCTGTTTCCCGCTGGATTATTTTGCCGTTAGCGCGTCGCTGAAGCGCAATGGCGTACAATGAACGGTGCATTTATTCATTGTGATTCACGCGTGCGCGCGCGCGCCGTTTGTTTTCCCAATAATGCATTTATTAATCACTCTTTTCCTTCTCTGGACAGATTGGCGTCATCAAATTCTCATTCATATTTATGTTCCAGATGGGTGCTCGTAGCTTGTGTGCAATCAAGCACGTTGATGTTGTTTCAAAAAAAAAAAAAAAAAACCTGTGACTTGGCTGCTTGCGCTGCATCCACTTTGTAGGCCTCTTTTTCTTTTTTTTTTTTTTTTTAACACTCCAATATGTGTGCAAGAGTGTGACAGGAGATTACTCGGGGACTTTTAAATTGACACCACTTTCGCGTGCAAATTGGGTCAAGGATGCTAACGAGACGTTTGGCTATTTCTTACACAAACTTGTGAATAAATCAAGAGCTGTATCTGCCGGAGACTTTTCTCACGGGGCACTTTGCAAACTTCCCTCAAGTCCCATTTGGAGTGCCGCCGCTTTTTCCGCCTTCAACCTCGCAGAATTTTCCCGCTGTCTTGTGGCACTTTCTGTTACCTGTTAGCGGCCTCTTCATCACTTGGCCTCCTTTCTCTCCCGAGCCAGTTTTTGGTTTTTTCCAGCTCCGTGTCCTATCCGGTTCAGCGCGGAAGCCCGAATCCCGTCTTAACACGCGGCCGGCTCCTTATCCCATCCGGTTAAGCCACTGATCTCGCGATCAGGGGAACGGTTTAGGAAGAAACCCCAGCAGAGCGCGGCGAGACTTCAGCTCCTAAACTTTGCCGCCATGCTCCGGCCACCATTTATCCGTTGTTTTACAATTTCGCCTCATCCAGCTGCATAGTATACAGATTTCAAATTTACGAGCAATAGAAAAAAATAAATCTCTAAAATGTTGCTAATTGAAATGAGCTCCTGCAGTCATACTTTTTTTTTTTTTAATGTTGTGTCTTTAAATGGCAGCTGGAAATGGCATAAATAAGACTAACGCGGTTGCTCCAAACCAAAATGGAAGACTTCTGGCATGGCTTATTGAGACTTTTTTTGCGGGTCTTCTCATAATGGACGTGCATCCCAAATTTCATTGTCCCCAGAGAAACTGGATCCTGTGGATGAATGTTGTCATTGAAGGACCCCTAAATATGCTCCAAATCAGCCTAAAATGGTCCCTTAAAAGCTCGATGGGAGACTTTATATTTTCAGGCTGGCGACTACATATGATGGAAATCTTCACAAAAAAAAAAAAAAACACATCGCTAATTTCAACTTCTTTTTCATTTTAAGGACCCCTTGATTAATAAAGGCCAAAACGTAGCTGCTCAAACTAAGCGCGTTGACTTCCCGTGTCTTTACAGTTGACAATTTTGCGAGATCTTTTTGTGGGTCTCGTCGTGACATCCCCACCAAATGTCATTTCCCGAAATGAAACCGGCTGCTGGCTCGGCTAACCAACACCGATTCTCGCCTTGACGCAGGTCTACCGAGTGTTGTTCCGTGTTTGTTCATTCACGGCATCACCCAGGATGCCTTTTGCGTCACGCATTACGGCGCCATGCGGGCACAACGTCCCGAAAGGTGATGGAGTTATTCACACGAGAGAAAACCGTCACATCAAATGCATCAAAAGCTCTTCTAACATCCATCACACTGTGTCTTTGTGGGACTCAGGTGTCCCCGATGCACACACACACACTTTGCGTATACATTATCCCTGCCCAGCTGAGGCTTCGATGTCCTTCTGCCATTATGTACACACACAGTGCCTGGGGTACATGCGCATCTGTCTGCACAACAAGCACAACAAAGCCATGATGTTGGGATTGTGTGTGTGTGTGTGTGTGTGTGTGTGTGTGTGTGTGTGTGTGTGTGTGTGTGTGTGTGTGTGTGTGTGTGTGTGTGTGTGTGTGTGTGTGTGCGCGCGCATATGTGCAGTAACAGCACGTCGGGGGGCTCGTACATCAAGCAGTGCTGCAAGGGCTTCTGCATCGATATCCTCAAGAAGATCGCCCGAAATGTGAAGTTCACGTACGACCTCTACCTCGTCACCAACGGCAAGCACGGCAAGAAGATCAACAACGTGTGGAACGGAATGGTAGGAGAGGTATGGACCGACGTGCACACACAAACGGATCACAGCCGCGCACTTGGGCCGAGACGCAACCACCTCGGTAGGAAAGTAGCTCCCCATCTAAGTCGCTCGGTCAGGAAAATTGTTGGGTCGGTTGCCGGATGGATAAGAACCTTGCAAGCAATTGCCAGTGTGATATGCGGTGCAATTATTGCCTCGTTGCTTGTTATTTGTTGGCCCAGCACACAGACTTCCTGTACCCAGCCAATAGAAAAAACAAACATTTCATATTTCACCATGTTAAATCGATCCAAATTCACGATTAACGGCCTCCCCTCGGCAGCCATCTCATTACCTCTGCGCCAGACGCACAGTTCCAAATAATGGGTGTTGAGAAAGGAAATTTCTCAGTCAAAAAAAAGTTTTTTAAAAAGCAAAAAAAACCAAAAAAGACTCCGATAAATCCGTTTTTTTCCAGCAACGATCGCAGTTTGATAATCGCCAGTGTTGTTTTGATCTCGCGTGAAGTAATCTTGCGTGACGAGGTTTCCGTTCTCGCGAGACGAGATTGGCGAGATCGGCCTTAACTCCGTGGAAAGCAGACGATTGCCAAGTTGTGTAACGTTAAAACAAGTGTTGACAACAAGTGTTGCAAAAGTTTATTGCGGAGATATCACGGAGGAAGCAGCTAAAGTTGGATCGTTTTTTTTTTGTTTTTTTTTTTGCGATAATAATCTTGTATCCCTGAATTATTGAAATTTTTGCAGCATTTGTTTATAAGAAATAAACCTATTATCAATGTATATTGTTGTTGTATGTGTTATAATCAGATGCAATTGAACAAGTAGACCATTTCAGAATTCGAAATTTGGGACTCTCTCAATGCATAATGAGACTCATACCCTTCTGATCAGCGAGTCCCTGGGACTCGCAGGGCTCCAAATGTAAAATTCTCACTGCCTCGGCCCAGCTTTTTGAACAGCATCCCAGTCGTAATAAGTCATCCGCTACTTCAGTCTCACACGTGAGCTCATGAATGTGTATGGAGTCATTGAGAAAGCAATCAAACAACACATCCCTCAAGGGGATGGCGCGGCCCCGGCGTCATGTGTCACGATACGTTCACGCGGCGGCAAAGATGACAACCGCCATTTCTTCTTCTTGCTCTCAAAATGCCCCCAAACGCTGGCTGACATTCATGCTGATGTTTCACTTGACTCTCCCAGGCGGAGAGAGAGAGAGAGAGAGACAGAGAGAGAGAGCAAGACGACCACACGAGTGCGTCCTTCTCCGTCCTTTAGCAGGTGTTAGCGTGCCATGCTAACCCCCGAGGGTTATAGCAGGTGTTAGCGTGCCATGCTAACCCCCGAGGGCGGGATTAGGCAGAGCGACTCGCAAGACCGTATTGGCACGATGGTTTGATGTCCAACGTATCACATTAGTGACTCCTGATGTGATACTATGCCTACATTTCACAATGGCAAGTAGCTATTGGTTGGGTAGAGTGGCTAAGTAGCTGGGATGGAAAATGGATAGATAGGTATGAGGCCTCTTTGGTACATAGACGGCAGATGACCTGGGCTGGGCCGCGATAAGATTATGAGAGCAGGAATCGAATGGGACCGGGTAGCTCGTTGGGTTGTTCAGATAAGTAATCAGTCCAGCAGTCGGTAGAGTAGGTCAAAGGTCAGGCAGTTAGGGAAGGTTGGTGTGTAGCTACAGTGAGCGAATGGAAGTGGGTTGTTGGGTTCGGTGGGCGGTCTGTAAAAATGCGGCCGTCGAAATTTGTAGGTCGGTTGACCAATTGGTCGATAGGTCGGGTTCAACACCTGATATGCAATGCTCGTTTATCAATCCGGTGGAGATCAATACGACTCCCTGTGTGTCCACCAGGTGGTGTACAAGAAAGCCGCCATGGCCGTGGGCTCTCTGACCATCAACGAGGAGAGGTCGGAGGTCATCGACTTCTCCGTGCCCTTCGTGGAGACGGGCATCAGCGTCATGGTGTCGCGCAGCAACGGCACCGTCTCGCCGTCGGCCTTCCTCGGTAGCGAACTCATCGGAGTCTTCTTGGCGCCGCCGCTGTTGGGGCGTCTGACATGCGACAACATCCGTTTAGCATTAGCATCCCGTTAGCATTCTGGAACATCAAGTACTGACAACTCAACCTGAAAAATGTGGCTGTACAAAACGGTAGAAAGGAAGCACTGGGCAAATTTATGGGGGCCAATAGGCATGGGGGGGGGGGCGTGTGCAAGAGGGTATCAGTGATGGTTCAGTATCTCTGGCGTTTACCTCAGCGCACAAGCTCTCTGGCTGGCTTGGCTAACGCGAGCAGTCACATACGCACGCACCCCCCACCCCCCCACACACTTTGTCAGTGTTTGGCTTCAGTGTGGGTTTGATCCCCCTCTTCCTCCACTGGAGTCATCAGAAATATGCAAATTCTTCCAAACCACCGACTAACTCTTCCTCCTCGTCTTCCTACCCGCCCCCCCGCCCCCTCTTTTTTTCCCTCCTTTTCTTTCTCTACCTCCTCTTTCTCTTTCCGCTTCCTCCTCTTCCCTCCTGCTCCTCCTCTATTCGCTCCTCCTCTCGCCGCCTTGGCTTCGCTAGAGCCTTTCAGTGCGTCCGTTTGGGTGATGATGTTTGTGATGCTGCTCATCGTCACGGCCATCGCCGTCTTCCTTTTCGAGTTTGTCTCTCCGCTGGGCTTCAACCGCAACTTGGCCCAAGGCAAAGGTACGCGCGCGCGCGCAGGCGCACAGCGGAGGCAGCCCGGGCATCCTCCCCTTTCTCAGCCTCCCCGGAGGCGCGGCGACGGCGCCGTTGTTCCGCGGACGGACTTTTTGGCAAGTGTCTGCCGCTAATAATGCGCTCCCGAAGCGTCCGCGCGAGCCCGCCGTCAATTTGCCGCTTCTATTTTTAGCCTCGTTTCATCGGGGATGACGCGGACGCTTTTCCTCTTCCCCGCAAAAAAGTTTTGCCTCATTTCCAAACCCTGCAGGCCAGCAGTGGGCAATTTTCAAGCACATTGAATGAGAAAGTGGTGGCGGGGGGTGATTTTATTTTTTGATTTACACTTTCATTGTAGTAAGCATTTCAGTGATTTTCAACCTTTTTATACTTTTAATCATTGTAACAAATACTCCTACCTTTCACTCCATTCAAAAAAATCTTGGATTTTTGTATTTTTAAAAATTGATTCATTTTCATTGTCTTTTAATGTTAGGAATTCAATGTCTTTTTAATCATTGTAACGTAGTCATTTCGAATTATGAAATCACGCCATACTTTTTTTTTTGAAAGATTTTTACGAACCATAAATATTTTTGGGAATTTGACATTCATAATTTCAATTCTATTATTTTAATCTTTTTAACAGCGACAATTATTTTCATATTTTTAATGTAAGAGAATGGATTTTTTATCATTTCTAAAGACGTACGTGACCATTTTATTTTCAAATTGTCATGAGTTATTTCACCTTTTTTTTTCGCGACCAAACAAGCACACGTACCACCCACAAAAAACTTTTTTTTTGGGGGGGTGGTACCTTTTGATACAAAGTCACCAAATGATGATGTTGCTGCCCAGTTGCACGCACGCCCGAACGTGCCACACCGTTGAGTTCTCTTGGTGAAGAAAAATTCGCCGTGTGTCCCCCCTCAGACCCTCACGGTCCGTCGTTCACCATCGGCAAGGCCGTCTGGCTGCTGTGGGGTCTGGTGTTCAACAACTCGGTGCCGGTGCAGAACCCCAAAGGCACCACCAGCAAGTTCATCGTGTCGGTGTGGGCTTTCTTCGCCGTCATCTTCTTGGCCTCGTACACGGCCAACCTGGCCGCCTTCATGATCCAGGAGGAGTTTGTGGACCAGGTCACCGGACTCTCGGACAAGAAGGTAAGAAGGGGATGGGGGGGAGAGGGGCGGGGCGGGGCGTGCCGCCAAGGCGCTTCTTTACGCTCACCAAATTGGCAAAAACGTTGAGTTCATAAATTGTTTTTTTTTTTCACTTACTGCTATCTCATTGATGAGTCGTTCAATGAGATAAAAAGAATAAAAATGGTCAGCTTTATTCTATTTAGCGCGTTTGAACAAAACAACCCCCCAAACGCCGTCAATGTGTGTTGATCATACAGCTGTGACACGTTTCGTCTTGTAACCGATGCCAACCCTGTGGCCACACGGGTCCCTCCGGGACCAGCTTGCCGGCTGTCACTTTCACCGCACTCGCTCGCACGCAAACACGCACACACGCACGTGGCAGAAACCAAGGTGCGTGCGTGCGTGCGCGTGCGCGCTTCTTCCCACGCTCGTGCGGACCTGCGATGACACCCGGTCGTTCTGGTCTTGTCCCGGTCCAGTTTCAGAGTCCCTACTCGTACTCGCCGCCCTTCCGCTTCGGCACGGTTCCCAACGGCAGCACGGAGCGCAACATCCGCAAGAACTACCCGGACATGCACCAGTACATGACCAAGTACCATCAGACCGGAGTGCAGGACGCCCTGGTCAGCCTCAAGACCGGGTAAGTGTGCCACGTGGAGGCCACGAGGAAAAACTCGAAGCTGTTCCGTCATCTCGGGTCCAAATGACCCGTTTGAAAATTTCAAAACAAATGGGAAAAAAAAAAAACATGGAGAATGACGATGTCGGGTTTGGACCTTTGAACTGTAGCTGTACTTGTGAAAAGTTTTTCTGTCATCCTGGGTCAAATTGACCCATTTTAAAAAATGGAAGTGACGTACCAGAGCTTCTCGTGGGCCCGCTCCAGCTTGAAATGACATCGGATTTGACTTATTGGAACCTCATGGGGGGGGGGGGGGTTGATGTCTCCGACGGTGTCTTTGATGCGTTGTTTCCGACGGCGTCCTTTGGCAGCAAGCTGGACGCGTTCATCTACGACGCGGCGGTGCTCAACTACATGGCAGGCCGAGACGACGGCTGCAAGCTGGTGACCATCGGCAGCGGCTACATCTTCGCCACCACCGGCTACGGCATCGCGCTGCAGAAGGGCTCCTACTGGAAGCGGCTGGTGGACCTGGCCATCCTCGGCATCATCGGCGACGGTGCGCTTGCCTTAGCGTTAGCGTTAGCACCCCTCCGGCCCTCCTTCACCGTCGTCTCCCCTTTTGCCTTTCTCGCTTTGGACCG